ATTGGGGCTTATTTGACAGAACAGTGAATGCACCATGGCTAGCTACCAAGAGACCCTTGGACACACATGACGGCCCGTCACTTTGAACCAAGTAAGAGCCTAGAATGTGAAGTGGCTCAGTCGTGAGTTGTGGCCAGCATAGTCAGCTCTGTGGAGTCACGGGAAACAGGCTCCTCCCCGGAATATTCAGGATTACTTTTAGGGCAAATGCTCAGAGACCTAAGGAAGTGCCAGCCGCATTTCAGCTGGGAAAGCTCTGGGAATGGACATCACCTAAATTTCCAAGATGGAATAAAGAGCAAAACCAAAACAAATCTACGAGGGAAGCAGCAGCGGACCCAGAGACAGTGACACACACACACACCTCTTCTCACAGTTTCTGGGACTCTCACAGACAAATGAGCCTGGGAGAGGCTCTGCACACAGGAGGCAGAGGTTGAGGTGGGACCGGAGTTGTGGGAAGGGTTAATGACCCTTAGTGGTGGGCTGGAACCCGAGGCACTCGGGTGAGGGGGCCTTTGCACTTCCACTGCCCTGTCTTTCCGCTCTGTGTGGGCTGCAGGCTGAGAGTCCCTGGGGCCCAGGCTGCCCATCCTCAAGGGTGTTGCCTCCTTTGCAGGCACTGGCACTTGTCTCCTGCTGTAGTCGGAGCCAGAGCCAGCCAGCAGAAGCAGGAGTTACCCTGACAGAGACAACAGAGGTGGAAGATAAACACCGGCTGACAGACCAGTGAGGCAGGAGGCGGGGCTTTGCCAGGTAGCAGGAGTTCCAGCTACCTGGTGACTTTTCATGGCTGTGGATGGGTTTAACCCTGCCCTGGTGTGCGTGACACCTATTGAGGCTCCAGGGTGCAGAGACCTGGGACCTGGGCCACCCAGGCTGGCCTCTCATTGGACGTAGGATATGGGCAAGCTGTCAGACACCTGTCCAGTGCCTGAGGTTCTGCGACCGGTGAGAGTTAGCTAACAAGCCCATGTGGCTGCCATCCTCAGAACGGAACTTCTGTTCCCAAGGGCAGCACCAGCTGTGAAAGTCCGATTCCTGCCTCTCAGGAAACACATCGCTGCCTGTCGTCCCTCTGCTGTGCCCAGCCTCCCTCTCGCCCTGCTCATGATCAAATTATCAAAAGACTCGGGGGTGTTCTTACAGAGAGCACGCCAGGCGCGGTGTGCAAAGCAGCTGGGAGATAGCACTCTGCTGGAGAAAGGAAGGTTTGAGCAGGAAGCACGCAGAACTCAACCATCAACCTACGGACGACCTAGAGGGCCAGGGTACCTCCAGGTGCTGCACTGTTCCTCACCATTGCTGAAGAAAGAACCTGGACTCTTGGAGATAGAAAGACAACAGAAGCACAGACACGGGGGGCAGCGTTGAGGCATAGACACCCCCTGGCACACTTTGAACACTCAAGTATGAACGCACACAATGTCAGCCTGGCTTCTCCCCAGAAAAGTGTGAGACACAAACATTCCCAAACATTAAATTCTCTTCTATAGAATTTAGAAGACTAGAGGATAAAATAGGATTGGTTGGTTGGTTGGTTGGTTTTTGAACTAAGAAAATTTCCCTTTCAACATTTTATAGTCATAATTTGGTTCCCAGAGCCCAGAAGTAGGTCTCTGGCCAAGGGTCAGTTGTCCTCGGAATTCTGTCCTTCACAAGTCTCGACGTGCAGGTGAGTGGGTGAGACAAAGCTATGCCAGGCATGTGCTGGTCTCGCCATGTGCGGCCCAGTAAAGAACTCTCACCCCATGTCCCCCGGGTCTGTCCCCAGACCATTGCAGGGACAGCTTGAGAAACATCATAATAAACAGACACAGAGTGACAGAGGATACAGTGGGCAGCAGTAAACCACAAAGGGACAGGCAGACCAGCTGTCCATACCCAGGGTGACTGGGAGCTGGGGAGGAAGTGGGAGAGCAAAGCCTTAGCTGGACACTTCCCAGAGCTAGAATGTCTGCCGTGTTTGGGAACATGGTACTTACTAGATCGGGCGCATTCCCTGGCCAGGCCGCCTGCTTCCTACCTGAAGGGGCTCCACTGTCAACAGAGGTTCTCAGGCCCTAGGCACCTCAGTCGCATGGCTAGAGCCAGACATCTCTGTACAGATCTCTACCCACAGGCGGCCAGACTCCAGGAGGGACAGGAAGCAACGCCAGAGCAAAGCAGGGCCGCTGACCATGGTGTGGGTTTCCTCTGAAGAGAGGCGAGGCCTGTGCTGACAAGGAGCTTGACAGGGATTTTGAAGTTGGGATCTTAACTATCCAACCTGTACATGAGAAAGTCTCCTGCAGACAGTGGCCTCTTCCAAGATGGAACTGGGGAAGGAAGGGCTATAGCAAGGGGTCTGTAGCCTGAGGCAGGGGCATCAGAGCTAGAGGGCAAAGCCAAAGGGGCACTGTGAAAGGTAAGATAGGCTGTGGGGCCACCACGGCAGCATACCAGGACTGGTTCCACTTCTGCTCTTGGAAAGGCCTTTGGGCACTAAGCCAATAGAGAGGAGTCCTGTGGCACCTTCCCTGTGCTAAGTGCACCAGAGACCCCAGTGGGCAGTCACCTGGGGCAGGTTAAAGTAGTCCTGGTGCCTTTGAAAGGGTGTTGCTTTCTCTTTAAATTCAAGATCGCTCCCCAAGGGAGCTTCACCGTGGTGTTTGCCAGAATTTCCCACAATAATGTTTGTTCTGAACCTAGGAGCCCTTTGCTTTGCTTAAAAAATATTTTGAGTAATCTGAAAAGCCACAAGCCCTACTTTGACAGCCTGCCCGGCCAGTGAGGCAGACCTGGAAAGCCAGGGAGCTGGCACTAGCTTGTCCTTGAAACAAGAAACTAAATGTCAAGAGAGTCTAGGTTTTTCTCCTTTTCCCCTTTTATGTTGAAGAAGTAAGTACTGTTTTTCTTATACAACCCTATTTCAGTATATATAAGCGACGGATGGTTTTTGGTTTTGGGGGCTTTCTCTTTTTTTTTTTTTTTTTTTTTTTTTGGACTGTAAGACAGTCTGCTACAAGCTGTTGAAATTCGGAGAATAAACTTAACTTCACACATGTTACAGCCCCTTTGGAATAAACGCTATCGTAGCTAGTGGGCTTGTTCTTGTCCAGAGAAATAAGTCTTCCATCTTCCTGCATCTTGACCTCATTTTCTTTGCCGTCCCAGCCTCATGTCCGACTGCTGGTGCTTCGTCTTGTGCAAGGAATGTGGCCGAAGCAGTCCTCCATTGGAGCAGCACGATGGGGGCTCAAAGGAGGAGGCCGATCACCAAGTGGATGTGTCCGATGGCATCAGGCTTGTTCCAGACAAAGCGGAGGCCAAAGCAGAGGCGACGGCCGCAGCCCCAGGTAGGTGCTGGTGGTCCCAGCCTCTTTCTGATCCTGCTGATGATTAGATTCTAAAGTCCTGTGCTCAGCTGCAGGGCACCAGATGGAGTGGCTGAGCCCCTGGCTGCGCTGGGGGTTCTTGTGAGTTAACCTGCTTCTGGGTAGCTTGCCTGCTTTTTGGCTACTTCATTAAGTATCATAGAAAGAGGTTGGCTTTGGTTAGAGATTATGAAAACTATGTCTTTGGGTTTTAAATAAAGTACAGTACACCAGAAGGAGGAACTTCTTATAGTCTTTGCTTCCTTTCTTTCTTTGTTTCTTTCTTTCTTTTTTGTATTGTTGCTTTTTTTCTGGCATGTTTTATCTTAACATGCCAAACAGCTCCCTGCTCACAGAAAGGATAGAACTAGTACCATATATTGTGCACCTCCAGACTTCCAGGGTAATGGAGTATGCAACCCCAGACCTCCAGGGCCATAGAGTGTGCACCTTCAGACTTCCTGGGCCATAGAGTGTGCACCCCCAGACTTCCCGGGCCATAGAGTGTGCACCCCCAGACTTCCTGGGTCAGAGTGTGCAACCCCAGACTTCCCGGGCCATAGTGTGTACCCCCAGGTTTCTGGGGCACAGGCTTTTCCCATGGTCAGTTTTTGCAGTAGGATAGTCATGTTGGTACATGGTCCTGGGCAGTCGACAAGCCCTGGTGTGAAAGAAGGGCAGAGTGTGCCTTGAGTTTGCATACTCTTAACTGTGTCTCCCCACCTCACCCCAAAAGTAAAGCGTGTAGCAGGCTGAGCAGGTGTGTACATCCCACTGAGGGGGAAGTGTGAATCTGACTCCAGGGCTGTCTGATTCTGAGACTGACCAAGCGTCAGGCTGCAGGCCTAAGGAAGCTCTCTCAGCACCATCTTGACTCTTAGGGCCATGGCCCAGCCTGGCATCTGCGGCATTTGGTCTAACTCATGGGGCCAACTGGGCTGTTTACTCTGAGGCGCGCCAAGGGCTGTGTGTCTTGGTCAGGGTGTCTGTGGTGATAACCTCTCTAAGGTTCAGGGCTAGTACCCTTGTGACACCTTCTGAGGAACTGCACTTTACCTGCTGACCCCCCGAGTGCTGGGATTAAAAGTGTGCACCACCACCGCCTGGCTAAATCATTATTTTTTTATAGTGACAAAATATACACAACACTACTTCTTAACTGGGCATGGTGGCGCACACCTTTAATCCCAGCACTCAGAAGGCAGAGACTGGCGGATCTCTGTGAGTTCAAAGCCAACCTGGTCTACAGAGTGAGTTCCAGGACTGTCAGGGTTATTACACAGAGAAACCCTGTCTTTGGGGAAAATATTATATATATTTTCCATCTCAAAATATATTTTATATATATTATATATTTTTTATTTTATATATATTATATATATTTCCATTTTAAACATTTAGCACATAAAGTATGCTCCCATTACACACACACATACACATGTTTATGCACATGCCCACACACACACGCTCCCCCCCCATGCCCACACACACAGGTGCATGCACAATGCTCTCTCTCTCTCTCTCTCTCTCTCACACACACACACACACACACACACACACACACACGCATGCACACACCATATCCAGCACTTTCATCTTCCCAGACCCAGTCCCTAGTCCCGCCCCTGGAAGCCGCCACTCTACCTTTTGTCGGGGTAGTCTGGCACTCCAGGGGTCTCAGTGAGCATCCTCATTGAGCTTCTGCCCCAGGTGGGTCATTTCACTCGGTGCTTTTCAGAGATGCTTTTGATGTCAAGACTCAGTCAGAGTCCAGGGTGCACGTCTTCACGACCCAGCATGTGCTCCCGCTTGCATGGAGGTGGATGCCTGGGCCTCTTCCCCTCTGTAATTACTCTGAGCCGTCCTGGATGTGGTGCACGTGTTATCCCTGCGTGTATTCAGAGATTGGTGGCTGCTGGGTGATGATTGGTCAGTTTGGGAGTTGTTTTACTGGCTTAGGCCCCCAGTGCCATCTCTGCCATTGTGAAGGCAGGGAGGTAGTGCACAGGCTGCTGTGTCCAGCCTGCCATCCACGTTCTGCCAACACGCTGCTGTCCCTGAGGTCATGCGGAGGTCTGGGCCACGCTGGGTAAACACTGATAAGCCTGTTTTCCAGCTCGCTCGCTGCAGTCTGTGGCCTTCTGTGTGATCTGGCATTCCTTCCGCCTTCTTGATTTCGGCATACACCACAACAGTGGGTTTGCTAAGCGGTTCCCCAAACTCCACAGTTAACCATTTCACCATCAGCTGTGGGAGGCCTCAGGAGCATCCGTGGATAAGCCCTTTCAGGGATCCTATCTGGCTGGTCAGACAGCTGACATTCAAGCCAGCCACCTGTGCAGAAGGACTTGGTGGGGGCCTCTGGTTTGCTCCTCCCTTGGCCAGTCTTTGCTGTGGACCCATCTTCGCCATAGCTGTTCTCGCTGCAGGGCCAACCCTCCCAAGGCACTGTTGGGACTCTGCTGAGGTGGGAGAAAGTCCACCCTATGGCCCCCAGACCCTAGGGCTCCTCCTATACTCCTTCTTCACTGAGTTGGCTTTTCCTGAGGAAAATTACTCCTTCCATGCAGGATGAAGCGGTTCCACTCCCCAGATGGACTGAGGAGGCTCACTGGTCTCTGTGTGTCACCCTCTAAGGTCCAGCCATGTCTCCAACTCCCAGTGCTGGGTTCCTTACTAGAATCAGCATGGCTTGGAGACAGTGTCCCCCACCCTGTCAGCCAGACATCTGAGGGAAAGCCCCCCCCCCCTCTCTCTCTCTCTCACACACACACACACACACCTACCTCCATGTAGCCGACATACAACTCCATGCAGGCAATATACAGGTCAACCTGCGAGGCCCTGGAACAGAGACTGGCTGCTGTCCTGTACCCAGCCCTGCCAGAGCGCTGGGATGTAACCAGCATGGAAACCAGGCACAGAGCCTCCCTGCCAGACACCTCATCTCTGGGCAGGTACACAACTAAACAAAATGGAAACCTTCTCAGGGTAGAGACCCCCAAAGGTTGGGGAGGACTTGATGGGGTTTATCCTATAATACAGATGAGAAGGGCACATAGACACAATGCGAGCACACAGGTAAGCACATGTACATGTGAGCACACACGTGGGAATGGGCACACATGAGTACACACATTGTATGGACACACAAGCATGAACAGGTACACGGATGGCACAAACCTGCTGGTATACAGAAGCATGCATACACATAAAGACACCACATGGAGTGTAAGCTTGGGTGTACACACATGTACATGTGCACTTGTGAGATGGACATGCAAGCATGGGCACGCATGTCATCTTAGCTTCATTTCCGTTGCTGTCATAAAATATTCTGACAAAAGCAACCTAGAGGAGAAAGGGTCTGTTCTCGCTTATGATTCCTAGTTAGTCGTCACAGGGAGGCGACAGGTGGCAGAACTTGAAGCGGCTGGTGACATCCACAGTCAAGAACAGAGTGGCATGCATGCCTACGGGTGTTCAGCTTGCTCTTTCCAGTCACGCAGTCCAGGACCCAAACCCAGGAAATGGTACCCACAGTAGGTGAGTCCCCCATCTCAATTCCCGCAGCCAAGGCCGTCCTCCACAGACGTGCTGCAGCCCAACCCGATCTAGCGGTCCCTTACTGAGATTCTCTTCTTAGGGGGCTCTTGATGGCCGCAAGTCACCAACTAAAACTAGCAGTAACACACACATGTCAAGAACACACAACCATGGGCACACTCACAGAAATACGTATATGTGTATGGACATGGACTCAAGCAAGGGCACATATGTAAGTGCACATGGCAGGAACATATAAGCATGGTCACCTGCACACTCACACACGGACTTGGACAGGCAAGCCTGAGCACACACTTACATGGTGTGTTTCATCAGATGAGTTTAAGACTCCAGACTCCTTGTTCTCTGGGTGCCGAGCAGAACCTCCTTCTCCAGACCCCTCCCTCTCCAGACCCCTCCTTCTCTAGGCCCCTCCCTCTCCAGACTCCTCCCTCCCCAACCCCTCCCTCTCCAGACTCCTCCCTCTCCAGACCCCTCCCTCTCCAGACCTCTGCCTGCCTTGTGGTGCTCTCACCACTATCCCTCTGCACATGAGTGCTGCTGCCGGCTCCCTTTGGTGGGTGGGAAGCATCACACTCCCACCCTGGCATGCCAGAGGGCCGGCCTTGGCAGCGATGTCCCACTTAGCTTTCTTAAATGCCCTGTCACCTGAAGCTTGAGTTTGAGAGGTGAAGAGGAAGCACCTGTGATGGTGAATACCCCCCAGGACAGTGTGTGTTAAAGCAGAGTATATTATTTTACACGGGCTTAGGTGAATGGAGAGAGACGTGGGCGATCATTATGACGGACAGGCCGAATCCCCAAGCATTCTTCCCAGTCATGGCCTTCTCTGTCTGTGACTGCATGTGGCCAAACCTAATGGTTTAATGTGTTCTGTATGATCACTGGGCAGGGCTGGAGGCTGAGCAGGATGAAAAAGCCTAGGAAGAACAGACTTGGTCCCTACCTTGAAGAATGATGGAAGTTAGTGCTCAGATGCATCCTGCCACTCTAAAGGCCTCAGGAACTGGCCAGTTGAAGGAAACCAGCTTATCATTTTGTGCCGGTGTATGTGTGTATGTGTGTGTGTGTAGGGGGGGGTCCTAATGACAGCTTGCTGGAGAATGGATGAACTGCCGTTTGTGGCATCTGTACCCAGTGGATGCAGATGTGTGGATCCCATGCCCTCGGGCCTGGGGCCTGCAGCCTGGAAGGGCCCTGCCCTATCTCTGCCTGGGGAGATGACCTCTGATCACTCAAGGGCTGTGGGCTTTCAGTTTCCTGGCTCTTTGTATAACTCCCCTGCCTCCTCCTTGTGTGCATTTAATGAGAAACTTGGGTGTGGAGGAGTCGTTTCAACGGCTGTTGAGCTGCTCAGCGCATGAGAAGCAGACCGGGCGAGCAAGCTGCTTAGTGCTTCACTCTCTAGTCTTTTCTGGGTTGCCTTAACAGCCTGCAAGGCTCCTGCAAATGGTGCAGGCAGCTTGATTGCAAGTGATTAACTTCTCATTCCAGCCTTCCTAATCCCTCAACATCTTATCACTTGTGAGTTTCTGTTATTCAGGAAGTTGGCAAGGGTTCTTGATATTTTTGGAAAGCATTTTTTAGTGAAAATGGGTTTGCAGTCCTTTGGGGACTGGTTTGTGTGTTATTGGTCAAAACTGAAAGTATGGTTAGCAATCCTCACCTCTGCTGCCAGAGAGAGGGGGAGGGGGCCAGTGGGGCAGGCTGCAGGGATACCACTCCAGGGTGAGCTCATCCTAGCCCCTACCCTGTCCTGGAGAGTCCACAGGTCCTGCCCCCACCCCAGTCCCCTCTGGCTCTTGGATGGACTGAAGAGAACTAGCCAGTGTTTATGATTGTTTAATTAAAATGAACAGTATGTGTTATCTGAACAGGTGACTATGAGACACCGCAGGGACATCTGGGAGGTGGGCAGCGTGTGTCTGAGCCATCTCAAGGGCTTTGCTCACCTCTTACCAACCTGCAGTCCAGCAATGGCGGGGAAAGGGGGGGGGAGACAGAAATTTTGCCTGCATTTCATCAGGAACTTTGTGAGTTTTCTGTCAACTGTGAGCTGTTTCTGTAGAATTTTCCATGAGAACCTTATATTTGGGGTGCTCTCTGTGATAAAGGTGATGTTTAGGAAAGTCTCCTCTGAAGTGTGTGTTTGACCTTGAAGCACCAAAGGGGACACACCAGCCACTAAATGTTACTATACACACTATTCCATATTTATCATTGCTTCTTCCGGTTACTCAATGTTGTCTGAGTTGCTGGCCTCGCCTTGAATTTCTCCCTGTGTAGACACCTTTCCTCTTCCCGCCTTGCCCAGGGGGAGCTGCTGATGAGGACAGGCAGGAATGTAGCCAGTCTCAGGTAGAAGTCCTAAAGCCATTGTCTCCCTGGACATTTCTGACCTTTGTAGTCCCCACTGTTGGCCATAAAAACCACAGTTCTCATCTTAAACAGGGCAAGTCTTTCCTCTGGAGCCATTCTGAGTGACCATAGCCAGAATGCAGATTTAGGGTCCCCCAAATTTCATGTTCCCTGTGGAAACAGTTTTATAAAGGTTTTATAACTTTCTAGAACAAAGGAAGTCACAAATCAAAGCAATTTTCAAATCCACTGGTGATATTTACAGTACACATGGAGAGCCCAGTACAGTGAGGTGGGGGAGCTGTTTACAGACCCGGGATGTTAACTGATGATGTTCTCAGCTTGGATTGGTGGAAGCTGCTGTCCTGCTAAGTTAACAGCGTCTAATGGTCTTGTATTTATTATCGCGAGGTGTTGGTTCAGCTACAAAGTGGAGCAAGGTAAAACTAGCCCAAGATACATTAGCCTCTGAACCTACAAAATTCCCATCCCTCCACAGGACTGAAATCCCAGCTGGCCTGTCACCTCTGCAGGCGCAGACTCCTTCCATGAGATATTTGTTCGCAGTCAGACCCGGCTTCTTTTCAGGGACTTTTGTTCACACCACAGCTTCCTGTTCTCCCAGCACAGGGCGTCTCCTTGGTCTCCACCCAGCATAGGCACACTGAAATCTTTCCCCGCTGAATCCTTGGGAGCTGGCTTCCCAGCATCACGTCTAATGTGGGCTGGCGCTGATAGGAATGTTATCCTCAGCTGAGGCAGGATCTGAGGCCGCCGTGGACACCACCCTGGTGTTCTTCTATTCGGGCATTTTCATCTTCTGGTCCATGACCAGGGAAATAGGAAATTCCATGCTGGCACAAAGTGGGCTTGTTCGCCAGTGGGCTTGTTCGCCAGTGACGAGCAGAGCTCATGGCTATCGGAAGTTACTTAGAGGTGCCTTATGTTCTAACAAAGGACCCGGGGCAGCAGAACGCTGAAACTACATCAGAAGACACAGTTACGAAGACTAAGTACATTTTTAAAAAATGCCACAAGGACAGGCTTTAGTACGTCTCTCTCTCCTGGGCAGCATAGTAGTGACCTCAAAGAGCTGACTGTGGGGACCGAGGGAGAGCTCAGCACAGCGGAATGGGAACTCACCCCGGGCAGCATTATAGAGTCATGAATGTGGGGGCCGAGAGGTGGTGCAGTGGCCAAGAGCACTGGCTACTCTTCCAGGAGAACCAGGTTTGATTCCCAGCACCTGCAACCATCTGTAACTCCAGTCCCAGGGGATCTGATACCCTCTCCTGGCCTCTGAGGACACAGCATGCACACAGA